TTGATTGGAAATTTTTTCCCAAAATTCGTCGTCGTGGCGCAGTAAGTTGCGGGATTAGGTGTCCTGCACTGTAGTAAAATTTTTTAAGTAGTGAATGGTTACACACAATGTGCAAAAATTAAATTTCTCTTTTTTTACTTTTTTTTTTTTAAATGGAGAATAATAAAATTCAAACCACACTTAATTTCCCAATATTATATATACATTAATGATGAATTTTGTGTTGCAATTGAAGAGGTTGCTGTGGAAACAACAAGATTATGTAAATTAAATAATTTTTTTATTGATAATAACGATGATGAATCTCTTCAATTTTAAAATAAATGAATGTGAGACGTTCTTCCCGAAGAAACCATGCCATAAAGGAGGCCACGGGTTAGTCTTTACTTTGAACTAGAAACCATTTAAAGAAACTAATTGGTAGTTTATTTACATACCTTTGTTTCGAAATGTTTTAAACAATTAGACAATCACAAGTCAACAACAGTTAAAAACAACTTTTCTGATGACATAGAAGATTCAGAAGCAAAAAAGATATACAAAGAGCAAAAACAAAAGGTTGAAGAAATATCAGTTCAATTCAAATCAATAAAACAAGGGTTTGTATTGGTTTCATAATAATATAATAATATAAAAATATGTGTAGAAACATAACATTCTAATAATAATAAAACAATAAAAATAAATATTTATATTCACGTTGAAATAATAGTTTATATGAAGCAAGAATGGCAGATATTGTTGAAGAGAATAAATCTATCATGCAAGGATGTCACCCTAAGCTTGCTCAAAGGTTAGAAGAAATTGAAGAAAAACATCTTTTACTCTCACAAAAAGCAGAAGCTAGGAGAGATTATCAGAAAGAAGCAATAGAAATAGAGTTTGCTGCACGAGAGAAACAAATAAGAGATGAATTTTTAGTAGGCTAATTATTGTTTTTTTACCATAATTATGATTATGGTTATTTAATTCATTTTATTTATTTACAAATAGAATGATCGCCGTAATCTAAGGAAAGTTATGATAGAAGAACTTGAACTTAAAAGGAGTAAACTTAAGAAAGAATATGATTTATATAAACGTGAGAATAAAGACTTTATATGTGTAAAAATATATAAATAAATCGAGAAAAAGATATAATTTTAACTTATCTGATAAATATTAAATAGAACCAGAGGATCGTCTTATAGATTTGGTGGTAAAAGCAATTAATGATCCAGCATTGGATGCACTTTCTAAAATTAAAAGAGGTTATCAAACAGAAAAGGCACGTAGTATAATGTCAGTTGTTCAGGCACGTTTGCCAGATGGAGAACCACCTATATCATCATCAGTTGTAATGAATTTTAGTCAGTTATATAGATTAAATATCCTTTTTTAGATATTTCTTTTTTCAAACATTTCAAAATCATATAAAAGGATCCTTAACTTTAATTTTTAAACTGGCTTTTTTTTTTAAAAAAAAAATCACGTAGCGAACCAGATAAACTTCATAGATCTGAAATAGCTGATGATATAGCAACAATAAGAGCGTCATCCAGACAGCAACAATAATACAAATGACAATATTAATTATAATAATGACAATAAAATAAAATAATAATAATAATAATATAAAACATTTTAATAAAATTAATAGTAATAATAATAATAAATAATAATAATAATTTTATTATAATAATTTTTAATTCTAAGAAATTCAAAAAATTAAGGAGGAAAGAAATTTTAATTCAAAAAAAAAAAACTAAAAAAAATAAATCTTGATTTGATAATCATAATAATAAATTTTTTTACCAAGTTTTTTATTTAAAATTCACACAAAATGTTGTGTA